GTCCCGCCGCAGAGGCGCAGCATCATCGCGCGGCTCTTCGGGACGGCGCCCGCGGCAGAGCCCGCTCCTCCCCAGCCAGGTGAGTGCCCGCGTGAGGCGTGCGGCCCAGAGCTCACCCGTGGGGGCTTCTCTCTCACCCTCTTTCCTTCCCTGCGAGAGGTTGAGCACACAGGGCCCTGAGGAGCACAAGCCTCAGCACGTGCCCATGAGAGCCGTGTTGTTGCTCTGGTCTTCAGTCCTGGTCGTGTTTTGTGTTTTCTCTGTGCTGGACCAGTGAGGCTGCTCTTTGGACAGTGACTGGATGCCACCCTGTGCCCTAGGTGTCCCTGCCTGAGCAAGGGGTTGAACTAGGTGATCTCTAGAGGTCCCTTCCAACCTCCCCCATTCTGGCTGGCTGGAAGCTAGAAGGTGCTTGAGCACCCAGGGGATGACAGTAAAATATCTCTCAGCTTCTTACTGGGAATACATGTGTCTTGCATAGCAATAAAAGTTGTGAGAGAAGCTGTGTAAGGCACTATCTTTGCAAAATCTGGCAGCTCAAAAGGACTCGTGGGTATTACTGTGGAAAAGCAGTGTTGATGTTAAAGGTTGCCTGTCCAGAGTGGTCATGCAAGTTCAGGACTGCGCTGGCGCTGCGTGGGGATCCCCTCTGGGAAGATGGGAGACTCAGAGTTACTCCGAGGAGGAGAGCAGCCCACGCCGGCTTCCTTCCCGCTAGTAAACAACGGAGCAGAGTAGTGCAATGTTTGCTCCAAACCTCTGCTGGAGGGAGCTGCGGGGAGGAGGCAGTTTTGTTGCATTCATTTTTCCTCATCTGGACCTTAATTTGCCTGTCACGTTCACTTTGCTTGCAAAGCTGACTGGAGCTGCAGCACTGGCACTACCTCGAAGTCATTAGCATGACACGGTTTGAATCACCCTTTGGAAATACCTTCTCCTTCACGCTGTCAATCCCTAGAGCTCGCAGTACTCTCCAGACACCCACGGAAAGGAAGGAGGAGGTGCTGTGAAAACACTCTGCAGTGTCAGATGCTGAAATCTCTCAATTTTAGATTTGTACACAATGTTCTGCCTCCTGAGTCTGTTACAAGGTATAACACAATACCCCAATTTCTGTTTGTTTGCACCTCCTCTTACCCAGTGACAAACAAAAAATAAGAGAGGAGAAACTGTTGGAAACCCTGTGTCAACAAAAAGCCTTTGTCTTCTGCAGTCGAGATGGGTCATAGGCAGCAAGAAACCTGCAGGTTGGGTGCAGGGTGCAGCAAAACTGTTTTCCAGCTGCTTTTGGAAAAGACAAATTGCCCGCCGCCAGCATTGCAACCCTTCAGTTTTTTTTTAATTTGTCTTAGCTTGTTTGAGATTTATGGCCTGCAACCATGGATCTTGAGGGCTCTTTTTTGGAGGGTGGCAAAAGGTGGCTAGGAAAACCCAATCTGTCATTGTTAGGTTTAAATGCATCATGCAAAAGGTCTGCACCTCTGCTGGAACTGAACTAGGTGTCTGCTAACTGGAAAATAGTTGGAAGTCGCTATTCCAAACTAAAACTGTGTTTTCTGTGAGAACAGAACATGTATTTGATGTCTTGCAATAGTGATTCTCCTGGCTGTGTGTTCATTGCACCAAAGCTACACCCTGACATGGATGATAGTGTTACTCATGGGCAGAAGTTAAGTGCAAGCTGTGCTAGTAGGACAGGATCTAGATCCATACAGAAAACTTGGTCCCTCCTAAAGGAAAAGAGCCTAAGCATGAAGTGCAATCCAGGCAGAAAAAAAAAATGTTGGATGTTACGAATTCTGAAAAGAATGATCTCCTTAAGCTTTATTTTGCCAATTTCATTAATTTTCATCCAGATACCTTGAAGGTAGGTAAAGGTTGCTCTGCAAGTAAGCTGCATTGAAGCAGATCTTTATCTGCAGTCGCTGTCGAGCTCGTAGTTATGCGGGACATTTAAAAGCAAAGCATGAACAGTTCTGCCTTTGACAATTCATTTTGTAAGACTAGAGGACGTGGGTGGGTGAATGGAGAGCCTGCAAAAGGTAAGAAGATACCGTGGGGGCCGCGTGCAGGAGTGCTGCACACAGCCAGTCTCCATGGAAAAGCTATTTGTGGTGGAGCTAGCGGATCCGCTCTAGGATCAATGCTACCATCTTGGCAGAGTTTTCAGACCTGCGTATGAGCTAAGTTCAGCATGGTCTGTTGTAAACCACATTGGCTGTGCGTGTTATCTGAATACCTTCTTCCAAGTCCCTGGAATGATCTGAGTGTCCTGTTGGAACCCTCTCACTGCCCTTGCTGTGCAGCTGATGTGTTTGTGGCGTTGGGGCTGTTCTGTGAGTGATGAAGAGGCCCTGGGCACGATGCCCCTGTAAAAGCCAGCTGGCATCTTGCTTGTGGTGAGCTCTGGGTGTGCAACTGCTGTTCCCTGTGCAGATGCTGCTGCTCCTCCCGCCCAGCCTGAAGCCCCTGCCAAAGTGCAGAGCGTGGAGGACTTCGTTCCCGACGACAGCCTGGACCACAGCTTCCTGGAAGACTCAGCCCCGCAGAGGGACAGAGGGAAAGCCCAGAGCAAACGCCGTGCAGACAGCGAGAGGTGAGGGCAGGAGGAGGGAGAGGCTGCTGCTGGGCCTGCAGTCTGGGGGGGCTTGGGCCTAACTAACCTATAGCGACCGCTGAGCCATGAGCAGTCTTGGGCCTTCTGCATTTCCTGGGGAAGAGGCACAGCACCTCTGAGGAGTCAGAAACAGCAGTAAAAGCCATTTATTGCCTTCCCGGGTTTACTTACCTGCTCACTTTGAACTGAATGGGTTGCTTTGGGTTAAGGAATTTCCCCTCAGGCCAAACATGCTGAAATAGTTCGGTATTTTTCTTCTGGAATGTGGTTCACTTTGCAGGATTACTCTGTTTGACCTAACATTTCTTCCTGCTCCAGAGACGCAAAGCAGGGTTAGGTTCTCCTTGGCACAGCCATTTCTGAGGCATTTGGAAAGGGTTGGTGTTTGATGGGGATGCTTGGGTCATGCATGGCTCGGTGGAATTCTGGAAAGAAGCATGGACATGGTGGTGTTTTTCCTGGCCCTTTTACCCAAAAAACGTTGCACGGCTGGGTGTGGAGCACTGAGCTGCCCAGACAAGAGGCTGTGCAGGCCGACTGCCCTAGAGCAGCCTGTCATTCGAGAGGTCACCTAAGAGCCCTCCACAGGCTCTGCATCCATCTGCAGGATGTCCCTGCCTGCTGCCTCTTGTCCTCCCCACCACATTAACCAGGAGGGTAATTAAACACCACTGTGGCCTGTCTGTGGGTGCTGTGACTCCTGCATCGTTGGATGAGTTTGTCATGACTTGGTATACTCAAGTTCAGCCTCAACAGTTTGAAGTCAATGCTGTGAGCGTGGCTTCATGCCTGCCTGGTGCAGGTCAGTGTGAATCATCATTCCTCGTGACAGTAGGACACAGGGATTTATTTATGTTATTTTTTTTAAGGCAGTATCTGCTAGAATGGTGCTGACCTACAGAGTGCCTTACTCCTGGCTGTGGCCAGGTTGTGCTCCCTTTTTGTGTTTAACTGAGAAACATCAGGAGAGCCAAGGCTGGCCTTGCTAGGGTTTGCTACAGGACAGGATTCTGGAATGGCCCTCGAGGGGCCTAGAGGGGTGATCCTACCCCTCTACTCAGCCCTGGTGAGGCCACATCTGGAATATTGTGTCCAGTTCTGGGCCCCGCAGTACAAGAGGGATGTGGAGCTGCTGGAGAGAGTCCAGCGCAGGGCCACAAGGATGATCAGGGGCCTGGAACATCTGTCCTGTGAGGAGAGGCTGAGGGAGCTGGGCCTGTTCAGCTGGAGAAGAGAAGGCTGAGAGGGGATCTGAGCAGTGTCCATAGGTACCTCAAGGGAGGCAGTGAGGAGGATGGGCCTGGCCTCTTTTCACTGGTGGCCACCAACAGAACTAGAGGAAACAGCCGGAAACTGAAGTTCCGCAGGAACTTAAGGAAAAATTTCTTACCAGTGAGGGTGAGAGAGCCCTGGAACAGGCTGCCCAGAGAGGTTGTGGAGTCTCCTTCTCTGGAGATCTTCAAAACCTGCTTGGACGCAGTCCTGTGCCACGTGCTTTAGGTGACCCTGCGTGTGCAGGGGGGTTGGACTAGATGATCTCCAGAGGTCCCTTCCAACCTTAACCATCCCATGATTCTATGAATTCTTGCTGGGCGTGGGAGGCTGGATCTTTCCAGCTTCTCCTCCCCAGAACATCAGTACTTGGAAGCAAATAGCAAATAGGTGTTAAGCATCTCAAACAGGGGCACAAAAGCCCTGCTCCTTGTAGAGCTGTCGCTTTCTTGGCTGCTGAGGTGGCCCCTTCTCTGCTCTGCCTCCAGTCTTGGACAGGTGCCGTCCAATGCCTGTGAGTGGGGGGAAAGAGAAAGACCTTTGGGCTTTCACTGGATTCAGAAAGAACATATTCACTGCTGCATTTTCTGAAGGCTGCTAGAACACCAGTTTCCCTGGGAGAAGACCTTGCAATACACTCCTACAAATTCAGATACTTGCTATTTCTCTACATTTTTGCATCTACATTGTGTTCTGGCTTCTTACACAGCTCATAGAATTTTCTAATTTCTAGTAATTTTGCATTCTGCTTCTTGCTTAAAAAGTGCCTCAGTACACCAGACTGCTGGAATTCAGAGATGTGATGTGTGGTTCTGCCCATCACCTCGACTAACTGATTCCCTCTGGGACTCCAATTAGAAGAAATTGAAGAGTTCACTAGGCATCATCCTTGATAATCAATCCCTACTACAGCAAGTAGATTGTTGCAGTTGCAGCAAAATCTACTGCAAGGGTTTATCTTTGGCCTAAATAAAACAAAAGTTCTCCTGTAAAATCACTCAAACCTCCTGGAAATGTTTGGGTTTAAAAAAATGTTGAAAGCTGTTGAGTGAGTAACAAGGTGTAACAGGGAAGCGGGCTCTGTGTTGAAAATGTAGAGAAGTTCCTTCTCTTGCCCAGGTGAAAGGAAAGGTCTGTAAGCAAGAGCCCTGGAATGAGCCCGTACGGGAGTGCATTAGTGCACTGTGCACTTCTCATTTGGGACAGGGCTGGTTATGCTTCTGTCCTGGGCTTTACAGCGTGCTTGAGTCCATTTTGTAAGGACTTGTTTGCTTTCCTTTTTCAAGCTTCAGGAGGAGGCTGCCAATATATCTGATGTTTCTTGTGTGTTTTAACTGCCTGGGGAATTCCTTGATTTTATTTTGTTTTCAGTGGTGCCTTGTGAGCTTCTCTCTCCCCATTCTCTGCTCTGAGAGATGTCGGAGAGCAGAGAGATGACTTGGAGTAACAATATTAGAAAAAAAAAACTGAAGTGTGGTGGCAGGGACGAGCGGAGAGGAGTGTGTCCCTGCGGAACAGGGCCCTGCTTCCCGAGGATCAGGCAGCTGCCGAGGCTCCGAGCTCCTCCCGACGCGCTCGCCAGCCCCCGGCATGGGGCTGTGGAGATGGATGCAGTCCTGGGTTTTGTTTAACACCGCGCTGCGGCTCCCAGCTCGCAATGAGGAGCACTCCCCAAATCAGCCTCCTCGCCAGCTCGTTAGGAAGTCGGCTCCATTTCCTAATTAGTTGTCACAGAGCTTACCTTGCTGCTGTCACTGAGCAGTGCGTGTGGGGCTGCAGCACCGGGGCTGGTCGGCTCCCCTGTTCTCTCCTGCTGACTCCAGCTGGCTCATGGAGAGGTTGTAGGTCTCTGTTTGGAAGTGAGTTTATGCAAAACCTCTTAGTTTCTGCACATCAGTGTGCCTGGATCAGATTCCAATGTCCCTGAGTCTGAAGGGCTTTGAACTGCTTCTTTGCTGTTATGGCATCTTTTATTTACCCGGCGCTACGCGGCCGTGCTGGAGCGCGGGAAGCTGTGGGCATGGCGAGACCCCCAGCTCCCAGCATACAGTCCTGTGGGCTCAAACAGGCTCCCTCAGCTATCTGCTCTATTGCATTTAGGGGTTCTCCTTTCTCCGGCCCCCCGTTTGCTGTGGCAGGAGGATGCTGCAGGATCCTGCTGCTCCCGTTGCAGCAGCAGCAGCAGCTTGGTGTGTGCCACGCAGGGCTCGCTCTGAGGAAGCCCAAGCTGCTCTTTGGCCAGCAGCCCACACACAGACCCCAGCGAGCCCAGGCCTTTTGGTGGGTACCTGCGCCCGAAAACCCGTTGTTGGCTCAACGCTAGCGCAGGCTTGGCAGCGTGGCAGGGGCTGGAGAGCGTGCTGCAATGTGCTTGGTTGTGCCTACTCTGAATTCCTTCCAGCTGGAGTCTCCGGACCACAAGCTGATACTAATTTTGCATTGTCAGACCTTGTTTATACTGCAGCAGTGATTTTCCTGACGTACATTCACTTCGTTGCCTTGCTCTTAAGCTGTTGCTCAGTGATTTGTGTGGAAGCTGTAGAAGGAGGTAGCGGGTCGCAGCGAAGGGAGGTGACCCACTTTGTGTGTGTGCATGTGCACATGGGTGTGCTTTCTGCTCAGACCCGCAGTGTTTTAACGACTGCAAGTCCAGTCTGTGTGTGGTAGAAGGGCAGCAGCAAAAGCAGGAGTCTCTGAGGAGCCCCTGCGTGCTGAGCAGAGCGATGGCAGGTGTAAAGAAATGCAGCGTTACTAGTTCGGAACGGTGCACTGCTGTTTTTAGGATGTGCCTCCATTTTCTTCCCAGTACGTTTGCAGAGGAATCCCCATCAGTTCCTCCCACACCTTGGTAATTCCCGCTGGGGATTCCTGCAGCCAGCGTGGCCCTTGGAGGCCGTTTGGGGCCCCCATCTTCTTCTTCGTGTGGGAGAAGCTGGGAGCCCCCGTTGTGGCTCTGAGCAGGACAGTGGCGATGCTGAGGAAGGGACCCCGGCAGCCCCTGCCGAGCTGGGGGCTCTGTCCCTCTCCAAGCACAGGGACATTTCAGGACGCTGCATGGAAAGAGGAGGAAGGAGCAGGTGTTAGACCTGAGCAGGCATTGACTGTAATCCTGCTAAATGTGCTGTCCCTTTGGGGATGAGCACAGCGCCCCGCACGTGGCACAGATGTGTAAGTTCTTTAAAACTAACTGGTAAACAGTGACCAGACACAGGAAAAGCCAGAGTGAGTAGGAGAATTTTGCTGGACTGTGTTAAAGCTTTTCCTGTGTCATGGGCACAGTGTCGAGTCATTCAAAGGACAGTAAATATTTTTCATGGTAGCTTCTCAGGAAGCAACTGAGCATCTGTAAGAAAGAGCCCAGCAGCAGATAAAGCGAGCAGAAATGAGGAGAGGTAATGCAGAGGCTCTGAGAGCACGAAAATATCCCCGTTCCTCAAGTGAACAAGTCCTTGGGGAAGTATTAAACCTGCCTGTCCTGGGGAAGAGCAGGCGGGAACCCTCAGCTGGGAAGCTCCCTGTCAGGCGCCTCCGGAAGCCTAACTGTGATATCCAGGGAGGCTGAAAGGCTCTAACTCTGAAAGTGTGACCTTAAGTTAATTGAATTTGGGGACTGGAAAAGCATGGTTGTGTTGTCTGAATAGCTGCCATCTTCAGAGAGTGCCCCCGAAATAGAAATAATTCTAAGAAGTAGAATTCGTGTAGCAGTAACAGTAGGTGATCGGGTTTAATTATAGGTTGCAGGGAGCAAGTCAGGCAGTTCCTAATGTTTAATTGACTCATCTTGCACGTCGGAGCAGAGAAGCCCTTGCCAAAGCAACAGGCTGCTCTTCAGCACCAAGACCTGCCTTTTCCAGCCGCTTATCCTGGTCTTGAGTGGTGGCAGCCACTGTGGGACGTCCTTCTGGTCCCCGTCTTGGTGCTGGGCTTGTGGCAGCCCCATCCTCTGCGGGAGCAGGTCCTGGCGCTGGGCTGGGCAGTGCAGACGGGAGGCTGGTGGTGGAGTCACCCCTGGGTCAGGGAAGTCACCCCTCAATTACCCCTAAAAGCTTGGCCAGGGCCACTCTGCTTGCGGGGGAAGAGGAGTTTGTCCCGGCGCGTCGCACGGTGGCTCATGTGTTCTCCCTTGGCAGTGATGGAGAGGCACCGGGAGGGAACCCCATGGTGGCGGGTTTCCAGGACGACCTGGATCTGGATGACAAAATGCCCAGCAGGCCCATGCCGACAGCAGAGCGCGTGCCCAGCAAGAACATCACCCTGTCCAGTGAGGAGGAAGAGGAGGAGGAAGCCGTGAAGGACTCCAAGGTCGGCCTCCTGCCTGAGGAGGACATTGATGCTCAACATGAAAAAAAAAGGTACAAAGCACAGCTTGAAGGATGCAATTGTGTTAGCAGCCTAGGGCCTCTTTTCAGCCCTGCCGATGGCTTCTTGTGTGGCCTCCAGGAGATGCTAGGGTCTCTCTGAGCCTCTTCCTTCAGCTGAGAGCTGGGGACCTGTTTCCCTTAGGGGTGACGGGTTTCCCTAGTGCTTTCAGGAGGCGGTTGGTGGTACTAGGGGTTCTTGGTACAGCTGCACCCTCTCTAAAGGCCATGTCAGTGGTTATGAGCAGAGTAAAGTCCTTCGGCAGTCCCGGGCGCATTCCTGATGGAATGTCCTGACCTTTTTCTCGAGTTGGAACAAGAGGCTGTAACCAAGCTCCTGCACGTCTGTTCCTAGCAGTGTGGGGAACACAGAGGAGTTGGGTCTGGTGGTGAGGGGAATGGAGGTCATTCACCACATCCTGTGCTAGAGAACAATGAACTGAATCACGTTTTTCATGTACCCTGTGGTCCTGTGGGGTGGACTTGGCCAGCTGATGCAGGCACCTCTGCACCAGCATCCTCGGGGACAGGAGAGCTGTCTGTCAGCATTTGATTTATTGCGAGACGCACTTTGATCCTCTGAACAGGGTTGTTTTGGCCAGCCTCCCTGCTTCCTGCATGTGCTGCTTCTCCTTTTGAGAAAGCCCGTGGTTTTGCTTTGCTCGTGCAGCATGGGAGAGAAATGGGAGTTAAATGTGGATTACCAAAAAAAGTGCTTGTTCCTCCTTTAAACATCCTTCTAATGCTGGCTAGACATGCTAGACTGTTGTGATAAGAGGGCCTGCCTGATGCAGAGACAGGGACGGACATTAGGAAAGGATTAGCTTGTCAAATATGGTTGTAGTAGCCCTGCAGGAGCTGGGAAGGGCTCCTCACTTAAGCTCTCGTGTCTTGTCTCCAGTTATGCAGCTCCTGGAGTTCACTCTCGTGGCCTCTGTAGTGGCACTGAGTTCAAGGCTTCTTATCCCCCCCTGTCCTTAGAGCTTGCCTGAGAGCAAGAGGCCGGGAGCACGTTTGGGGCTTGGAGACTGCTGCTGTGGACTGGCTCTGATAACTTGTTTCTCTCTTTTAAGGTCTTCCAGAAATTCTTTGAAACCACAGAGCGAAGCGATTTCCACCAAAGCAACTGACCCGAAGCCTCCGGATAATTTACCTCCGCGTTCTGGGTCTGAAAGAAACAGCAAGTTGAGCTCCAGGCCACCACCGGCTGCTGTCGCCACCCCAGCAGCAGCCCAGGCCTCCAAGACCACTGCCCAGAGCAAAGGACACGCTCCCAAGCAGAAAGTGGTCAAAGAGGAGAAGCCTGAAGAGTCTGACAGCGACCAGGAGGGACCAATAGCCACTCAGATGCTCTCATTTGTTATGGATGACCCAGACTTCGAAAGCGAGGAGTCTGACAGCCAGAGAAAGAAAATGGTAAATAACGTGCATGAATCACTGTGTGCCCCTGCAAAGCTGAGCTGGAGTGTGGAGGCATCTCTCTGAGCAGGGCTTTCATCTGCTCGCTGGGTCTCCCCGCAGCAGTGGCAGCAAGTCTGGTGCTAAGCAACCTGCAGGGCTGGGGTTGAGCACAAGCTTGCTAATGCTGTGCTTGTTGAAGTCCCACAGCAATGAGGGTGGTGGTGATGGGTTTTGTGTGCTGTTATCCTCAGTAACTCCAGAAATTGGTCAGTCCAGCAGTGTGGAAAGTATGAAATTCAAAACTGAGCAGTTTTCATTCCAAGTTTAATATGTGGAAATGCATGCACGCCAGAGAGAGACACATGGGCTCCCAACAGTCAGCAATTAAAGGCCATAACTGAATTTACTTGGCAAAGCTCATTACTGAGTTAGCAGAACCTGCTGGAGAAGAGCTTTCCAGCAGTCAGGCTGGCTGTGACGTCTCCGTGATGTCCCGCACATGGGAGCTGCTCAGTGCAGCCGCAGGCGTCTGCGCAAACACAAGGAGCAGCTGGAGTTTCCCCTGGACCTGCCACGGGTTAACGATGGAGGAAGTGTAGGGGTCTTCTTCGGGCTCAGAAGAACTTGCTGCTGAGGCTCTAGTGATTCCTGATTTCAGGAATCTGCGCTCACAGACAGTGGAGCAGTCTGTAAAAACAGCTAACACTGATTTGAGTCTGGCCCTTGCCACGCAAAGCTGCTCCCAGTGTCCAAATTAGCTGTCGTTTGGGAGTGTTTTATGTGTTTGCATCATTATAGCATCTTCCAGAAAGGACACTTGTCCCAGTTTCCCTGACCTTGGCTATGTGTCATCGTGTTGTTTATTAAGTAATTTTCCATTTGTTCCTTTTCAGTACTCACTTTTCCTAGTACCTTGATATAAAAGCAAAAATGTTTTGAGCAAGTTTACTTCTCCTAGAATGTGAATTATGAGAAATAGGATTTGTTATGGAGCTCACCCTTGCAATGGTGCCATGGAGATGCTCCTCAGCTTGTAAATGGTACAGAGATTACTGGTCAGGCTAAGCAGCATTCGCCAGTCATGACAGGCAGGTCTGCAGCAGAGCGAGGCCCTGTTTTGTCATTGCAGAGAACATGATAAAAAGGAGAGCGTGACAAATCCTGAAGAGGATCACTTGACATGCATCAGAGATCATTAACCTTCATTGCCATTCCCGTTGTGCAGTGAGAGAGAGGATTTTTAGGTGACATCCAGCCTCTGCAGCATCCTGTTTTTAGCTTTCGTGTAAAGGGGAAAAAAATCATCCAAAGGGAGCTCCCTTTTGAGCTGCCAGAGGGATTTATTCTGCAAACCCAGGCTGCTTACTTGGCCCTGCTCGTGCTCCCCCTGGCACGCTGGGCCCCTCAGAGCTGCCCAGCCCAGGGCTTGGTGAAGCAGGCCTGGAGATTTCAGCCCAGCTGATCTGATTTTCCCCACAACAGAGGTGTCTTCAGGGCCGTTAAAGGCCAGTGCTGTTGAGCTAATGCATTTGAAAGTCTTGTTTAAACCCCTTGCATGGGGTTTCGATTTTGCTAGCACACGTGTGAGGTACCGGAGCGCGCTTCCCGGTACTGGTGCTACCCAGGCATTTTACTGTAGCAGAAAATAGAGCTTACAGGATCAAGTACATTGATATCCAGGGACCAGCAGCTGAGATCAGCAGCTACCGTTTCCTTCCTTCCTTCCCACTCTCTCACGTCTGGAATCTTTGTATAAAAAACACTTAGAGATTTTGGTTGCAGGATTTGTCTGTAATGCCTGCCTTCTGCTGCCTCTAGGATGAATTCCCCATCCGGGAGGATCTCTCCGAAATATCTGATGATGATACCTCATTGGCAAAGCCGCCCCAGCCCGTGAAATCAACAGTCCCCTCCTTCAAACTGAAAAATGACTCAGATCTGTTCGGCTTGGGCTTGGAAGAAACTGGTCCCAAGGAAAGCAGTGAGGAAGGTAAGGATCACACCTTGTTTCTCTTCTCGCTCATCTTGTTTGTCAGGGCTCTCATTTCTCATTTTTGAGATAGTTTCACGATGTAAGCAAATCAATTCGCACCAAATAAAATACCCTGTGACGTATGCATAGACTTATGTGACTGTTAATTGGTTTAACACAACCTAAGTAACTTTCTTTTAGCTTTTCATGGGAGAACAGAGTTTGGCTCGTCCATGGCATCAGCTATATATCATTTCTGTCCCAGCTGGAAGCAGGCGCACATCTTTCTGGCAGACTTCCTGCTTATAGCTCTGCATGCCTGGAGTTGGTGTTCAGCGCTGCAGTATCCACCCCCTCAAGAACTTGGATCAATTTAAGCAAGATGCTCTGACATTCCCTGCCAGTTTACCCTTCTATTTTGAGCAAAGATGGAGGGAGATCTGATCATAACCTAAGTGTTCCTCAGGGTTTTTTTTTTTTTTCTTTTTTTCCTTGCATCCCCTGAGGGAACAGATCTTCCTTCTGCAAATAACTTCTGCTGTTTTGACATCTCTACAAAGCTCCTTCCTATAGATCTGCCCTTGATGTCACCCAGAAAGGTGGGAAATAAAAGACTTGAGGGGAGGAAGAGCTGTAAGCAGCACAGGAAGGATTTCTCTTTGAATCCCTGTTCCACGGCTCTATGTTGGGTGTCAGGGACTGCGATGGCTTCATCAGCTTGTGGCTTTGAGGTGCTGAGCAGCACAGCTTGGAGCAGCTGGCTAGACGTGACTCTGCAGAAATGCCAATAAATAATTAAACTTCAGTATAGCATCTCTAATAATATAGTGTGGGTTCCTCCTGTCTCCTCTTTCTGGGGTGAATATTGAAATATACTCTGCTAGTCAGTCAGTTGGGGCTTGACCAGCAGTTAGATTTGTCCATGGTGACTTGTATTTACTGATCAGCTGAGGAAAAGAATATATAAATAAGATGCTGTCAATCAGGTACTGCATGCAGTGTCATTATAAAACCTCCCTTGTAACAGGCAAATACTATGCAAACATTTTCTGTGCAGAGGCACAGAAGCTCAGCAGGCAGATAAGCTGCAGAACCAGCAGCCACAGTAACGGGACAAGTGGCAGTGACTGACTGAGGCTCTTCCAGCACAGTGGAACTGGCCCTTGCTAAACAGGGCTGCAACACAGGGCTTTGGTCTTGGGACGATGCAGGTGTCACGGCCACTTGGAGCAGCAGCGAGGGCTGCGCTGCTGGGATGTCCCCGTCGGGGACAGCAGGTCCTTGGTGGTCCTTTCCAGCACTGGCCAGACCAGCCGTAGCGCAGAACAGGCCTGTTCTTGCCTATGGCCTAAGCAGTACTTCCATGTGTCTTTGAATACTGAGTGGTCAGAAGCAAGTTATTCCCAGGAACAATCTTCAGTTCTGGAGATGAGCCTGGTCCCCAGCCTGGCCTTTGGGCCAGGTCCTAGGGCAGGGTCTCTGTTTGTTTTTAGTGATGCATTGAGGCCAGCTCAGTACCCGTGTCCATGCAAGCGGCACGTATGACCACAGGATAGACATGTGCCTGGTGTAATCAGGATCTGCCTGCTGAGGCCTGTGTTGGTTTCCAAGGAGCATAACGGGGCCTGACGAGTCAGAGCTGCCTTTAGACATGGCTCCAGGACAGGGCATTTTCTCGGAAGTGGGATTACTGAGGTAGAAATTCATCTCTCATGGTTTAATTTCATTAAAGAGAACATTGTTTTCTTGTTTGAACAGATAAACAACCCTCTAAGGAGAAAAAGAAGAAGAAAAAGAAAAGCAAAGAGGTACTGTTCCATTCCTGAGCCGGAGCTAGGGGCGGCCTCCCGCAGCATGCGCTGAGTGCCTGCGCTCCACAGGCCCTACAGCCCTGCTGGCCACGTCAGGGCTTAAGAGCAAATTCTGAGAGCAGTCACATTTTGAAAAGGCAGCGTGTGAGTGTGTAAAACACGTTATCAAACAGAGCAATGCCTCTCCCTTGGGTTGAGCGTGTTGATGAGCACCGTGGCTTTCTCTAAGCAGAGGGTGTCCCAGGCAGCGCTAGGCGCAGAGGTGGCAGGGGAGTCTGCAGGAGGCTTTTTCGTTGACGTTTCTTATCCAGTGCAGTCACAGCCAGCACTACCTGACAGACCACGCTAGCTATGAAGCAGATGGTGTTTCCTCTCTTCTGTCCAAACGAGCAGAAGGGTCTTCTGGAACTAACTCCCAGCCACTCCACAGTGGACTCTGCTCCCTGAGTCAGGTTCCTGTCAGAGCCAAGTTTCAGGGTGATAAGTGCTGGGTTACTGGCATGCTCAGAACGTTTATCAATAAAGTGTTTTCTCATTTTGCAGGAAGAGGAGAAGTCTATAAAAAAGAAGAGCAAACACAAAAAGAGTAAAGAGAAGGAAGAGGGCAAAGATGAGAAAAAGAAAAAGAAGAAGAAGAGCAAGGAGAAAAATGAGATAGATGAACTGGAGGCTTTTCTTGGAGGAGGAGGGGCCAGCATGAGTAAACCACGAGGAGGTGGGGACTATGAGGAGCTGTAGAGCAGCCGTGTGTCAGCGCAGCGGACTCTTCTTGGTGGCTGTCTCCATCTCTTCCTGTGAGTCACACCAGGACAGGTGCAGATGTGTAAAGCTTTGGCCGTTTGCCCTATAGCCCCTCAGAGCAGAGCTGGCAGAACAAAAGCTTTACATCTGCGTTGCTGTTCTGGTGCATCTGTTACACAAAATGCAGCCGTGATGGACTTGAGTAAAGGGAAGGGTCAGGGTATGACTCCTGGGCCTGCTCCCAGGCTGTCATTCCGTCTCCTTCCAGAGATGCCCAGCTGGGTAGCTGGCAGAGTGTGGGAGGTGAAGGGGACCGGCTTCCTGCTCCAGCTCTCCTGTTCCTCTGCCGCACACCCAAAATTCCTGTCTTGTTAGAGGAGTGCAACAAAACATGCTGCATGAACGCCTCATGCTCACTCGTCTCAAGTCTTTAACTTTTTATCCTTCCTATTTTTTTAATGAGAAAGGTGGTATTGGCCATTGCTCCACCTGGCGACTGATGAGCTTTAAATCAAGCAAATAATGCTACGTACAGCTCTTTAAGACAGCGAGCAAGGGCCAGAATGAGAGAGAGTGCGTGTGATTTTGGAGTCCTTCTGAAAGGGACCTTTCTTCACAGCAATTTAAATAGCACTCACTGGTGCTGCTGTTGGAATTCATGATGCCCCATTGATTTCCGTGGCCCTGGTGTCTCGGACACTACACGTAAGCTGCTATGCAGTTTGGGAAAACAATGCAAAGTGCAAAGCTAACTTGAAAAAGAGAGAAAAAATCAGTGCTTTTCTGCATTTCCCACCCTTGAATTTGCATACACTAGAATCCCATCCCTTCGGTACCTCTCAGGGAGATGACTATCATGGAAATGGAGATATCCGGAACTTCAGAACTGTCTACAGAAACGTGTCAGCATGGCAAGGCGGTTGCTTCTCAGGCATTTCACAGCCGTGCTGTAAAAACAACAGCTGCCTCTCTGCACTGAGTGGGCAAACCACTGTGGGGCTAGGACAGCCTCCCTCCTGGTGCAGGTACCATCGACGCTGCGGGCCGAGGTTGCTGGACCAGGCGCCCCTGCCTTCCCCGGCTGGGAGCCTCCTGCTGCCGTGGCGGGTTGGGAAGCCCTTGGATTTTCACCCTCTAGTTAGACCCATGGAGCAGGGCCTGCTCGGCAGCGTGGCTGCAGGTGGATGGGCTCTGATGACCTCCACGAGCAGCCCCTGTGTTTTGTGGAGCTTGTTAACTCTCCGTCCCCCTTCTGTTTCGGTGTCCCTTCTGCAGCCCAAACAGTAACGCTCCCTCCTGAAGCCGTGTGTTACATTAACCTCTTGCTTGCAGGTTGGTTTGGGGTTTGATTTTGTTCTCTCTCTCCCCTCCTTTCAATGTAAGTTGTCAACCATGAAATCCAAACCGGAGCTTCCTTTGACATCCCTATAAGGCAAAATATTCTTTGGATCCATCTTTTGCAAAACTGTCTTGAAATTGTCTGAACAGCAGACAACTACTGCGGTTTTCTTTTTCTTTCTTCTTTTTTTAATTTTTTTTTACTTTCTTCCCACTTTGCTCCCTAAGAAATGCACTTGTAGCTGTTTCCTTATACAACGAACTGGGTTTTTGCTGCATGAGCAGTATGTTGTTCAGGTCTGTTTCTTTATGATCTTTTGCCTTCCTCTCTGGTCATTACTTCATTTCGTGGCACCGTAGGTAAATTGCATGGGACTGCTCCAACTTCGCACGCCTGGCGAGGAAAACACTGACTGAGATGCAGCCGGTCGGCAGCCCTGCTTTCCAAACGGGAGGGAGACAGCCAGGCACCAGCTGGCTGCGTTCCTGAAAGCTCTTGTGTTCTGCAAAGGTTTGGGGCCATGTTCCATTTTGCATTGGGAAACCTGGTACGATCCATTCCGACTATAAAGCTCTGTTCCACAACTGCCTCTGTACATGTCCATTGCAAGCGTGTGTCTGCCTGGGCTTGGGAGCTGCATGGCCCTCCAGGACTGCTGCACAAAGGACAGCCCCTGCCTCGTGCCGTTGCATTCTTACGCTTTGTGGAAAGGGCACTACATTAAAAATTGCTCCAAAAAAAGTCGAACTGGGAACCCCTGAGTTCTTTCACAAAGACCGAGGTCTGCCCCGAAGAGCTGTTGTTCCACGTGGCGTCAGGGCTGGAGTCTGCGTTTGTGTTCAGCTCTGCTTGCTTTGGAAGGCAGCTCCCGGGCTAGCAGAAGGCTGCACAGGCACCCAAGCGAATTGATGTTGGCATCGGTTTATATTTTACTCGGGCCAGATTTGACCACCAGTAGGAGCCTTTACACTCCCTGCAGCTCAGTTCATTGTCAGCACAAGGGGCTGAGACAAAAACAAGTAAAGATGAGTCATTCTGTTCCAAAATGTTCCTTTAAAAGACAAAAAGATGTGGGGGGTCCCTTCCCTTATTCTAGAGCCTTGAGAGGGCGTGTGGGGTTGGAGGTTTTTGGCAGCCTAGCCACAAAATCCTACGTAGTGGGTGAAGCAGGAGCGTGGCAGGAGACGGCCAAGAAAAGGCACCAGGTAACCTTAAACCTCTCCTCCCGTTCTCAGGAAATGCTGAGCAGGTCAGGGCTGCAGAATGAGATGTCACCCCGTGCTGGCAAGCGTGAGTAAGTGGAGTAAGAAATAGATCTTGCTTGAGTTGGTCTTTCCGATGCCCGGCGTTTGGAATAAGGCAGATATAAAAAGGATGTGTACGTGCCTGTCGTCGTGGGGAAGCTTCTGCAGGATCACACTGGTATAAATAATTCCTGTGCGCATCTCTAGAGGTACCAGTGTATTTGCTTTTGGGTGTATCAGTCATCCAAAAAGAGAATCAGGAGCTTACGGATGAGGAACTGCAGTTTCCTGGAGTCAAAGCCAGCCAGAGCCGCGTGTTGGACGAGGTCTCTGCTGGCCGAGTGGAGCAGGAGGTGGAAGAACAGGTCCCCTGCAAGCACCCGCTCTTGGGTGCAGGTCCCTCGGGCTCCCTGGCGCAGAACAGGCGGATCTCGGCATGCCCTGGGCCAGCTGGAAGCCAGGCGGCTCGGGGTGGCTCCTGAGGGGTGTCCTCGGGGCCCTGTGTCTCTCCTCCCACCTGCGGCGCGTTGGCAGCTGCGGGCCCAGGGGTAGCAGCGCCGGGGAGGCCGCGGGCTGCTCTGCGGCGGCACTTGCAGCGCGCTGGGATAAGCAGGAGCCCACGTGCAACAGGAGTGCTGTGCCCAGCGCTGCCTTTGGGAAGCGCCTCCTGCTCTGCCCGTCTCTGGAATAGCCAAGATCCAGCGTGACGGTTGACAGCAACCCGTCACTGCTGGCAGCTCCTGCTTTGTGGCGTGGTGCAGCTGCTGTGACAAGACGTGGGTGACCTTGCGCTCTGAGGAGAGCCTGGCGCCGTGATCTGTGCAGGCTTTGCAGTGCGCCCTGTGCCCACAAACACCCCTGTGGCCTCCCACCCGGAGCTGGTTTTGGTGACACCTTCCAGCCTGCTGCCTCCGAGCTGCCCCTGCCCGCGGGTCCGCGCTGCGCAGAGTCCCCTGCACACAGCACCCGCCTCCCGCCGGCCCGGGCTGGCTCCCCAGGCGCGGGGCCCTCCCTGCTCGCTGGAGCTCCCGTTGGTCCTCGTGTTTCCACGGCTGTGGCAAACTCGCCCCACAGGAGGCTCTCGGCCCTGCCCCAACAGGCCTGTGCCAAGAGGAGCAGGTCCCCCATGCTCATGGCTTCTTCCACAGCACAGGAACAGACTGGCTGCTCCTCGCAGCTCCTCTCTCCAAAGCCACCGCGTCCCCAAACCCCCTCAGCTTCCAGCGTCCCTGTGGGAAGGCATCCGTCCGTGTTCCACCCTGCGCCTTGGGAGCTGTCTCCTAACTGCCACCCAGATTCATTCCCCGCCAGTTTATGCTTCCTTGATCCTCTGCTGTTTCAATGCTGCCCTGCTCACCTCAGCTCTGCGTGGCCGGGGCTCGCGGCCCCTCTGCCCGCTCTGCAGGACGGGCTGTGCCCTGCTCGCGCGAGCAGCCCTCCCTGGCACCGCTGCTGCTGCGAGTTCCTCGCTTCTTATAGCTGTGCCAGGGCAGACGAGGTCGTGCCAGGGCTCCTGTTAATGCTTCCCACATAATACGTCTCCTGATGTGTCCTGTGACGATGGTGGCCTTTTTGCCAGCTCTGTCTTGCTGGTGCCTTGAAGGTAGCCGCAAGGAACACAGTGCTCTATGCTTGGAGGGATGCAGCTTCTCCTTGTTTCTGTTGCTTCCTTGGGGTGGGAAGAGGTTTTTCCTTGGCTTGCTGAGGTCCAGGGATGGGAACTTGCTCCTTGTTCCCCTGTCAGTGGACATGTAAAAAGTCCTGAGGCTGGGGTTGCATCAGGGCACAAATGAGCAGGAGGTGCCTGGTGCTTTTCGAGGCGATGCCACACGGGCTGGGACAGGCAGCGACAGCCTGGGCAGAAGGACAGCTAAAGAACAGCTAAAGAACCCGCTGCCCCAGAGAGCTGAGCTGTCCCCGTCTCACAGGGACCGCAGTGCTTGGCTGTCCCTCCAGGCTGCTCCTGAGCTCGGGAATGAGGGATCCTGGGGAAATCCCACGGCAGGATGGGCCTGCGGACGGGTGGCTGTAGCCTAGCAACAGCCTCCGTGGCGGCATCACGCGGTTAATCCAGCGGCGGCTCCATCTGCTACTGGAAGACACCAGGACGAGCGGCTGAGCGTTTTTCATGCGTGGGTTTGGCTCCAAAACACCCTCAGCATCATGGGCACGTCGCTGCTCCAAGCCCCAAGATGGCTCCGGGGGAATTTCTGGTCCTCATTTTACAAGGGCTTCCCGTGGAGGTTGCGGAGAAGGAGTCACTGAGCCCATGGGTCACATAGGCTTGGGCGGGTTTGGCCCCTTTGGGAAAGGCCGAGGAGTTCCCTTAACCTGCGGGGGCCGGTGCCGGGCAGGCTGGAGGCG